TACAAGTCATGCATAATGTTGCATGTATATCTTCTAGTAGAAGATTGATAAGCTGCAAAACTTTTAATTCATATTCTTACTCTTCCTTGTGAAACTAAAAACTAATGAAAAGGATCAGGGATTCTAAAATCCCTAGTAATATACTGTGAAAGTAACACAATTAGTACAAAGGACGTATAGTTCATTAAATAAAGATTTTGTGGAGGTGTAAACTACTCAAAATTATAAATAGCAGGGTTGTTTTATAACTTCTTTACCATTGCTGTACTTATATACAAGTTGTTCCTATTTTTTTCTAATCAAACCTGCATTTATTTTTCCTAGCTGCGGTGGAAGACTTTAAAAATGCAAGACAGACACCAGCTAGAGCTATTTCTTCAATGGAACAACAACTGGAAGGGCAGCTCAATAAGCATCCTGGGGAGACCCAGCATTCTGTTAGCAGCGAAACACTTAAACAAGCTGAATCTCAAGATAAAACAAAGGCAATTGAAAAAATACAAATTGATGCAGGGGAAAAATATATTTTTGAAAGTGGAGTACAGAAAATGGCAGATAATATGAAAAAATGTCCCTCATACTCTTCTGCTGTCCCTGACATAGAAAATGACAAATTAATTCATCAGGATCAAAGTGGAAACTCTGAATATTCACAAGAAAAAGTATATTTGAATGACATTGTAAATAAGACAGTAGGTGACTCTGATGAAGATCTGGATAAAAGTGGGGATGGTGGAAAGGAGGAATGTTTTGATGACAGTACAGAAGAGAGATTCTGTAATCAGTCTTCCAGCACCGATGAAAGTAACAGCAATGATGATTTCTTCATTGGCAAAGTAAAGAGAATGAAAAAAAGGAGAGCAGCTAATACTTCACAACCTACAGAAAAAATTAAAACTATGCCTCTAAAAAAACCAAAGGATCCACAGTGTGACAGGATATTAGATCCAAATTCAAAAGCCAGTAAGCAGAGTTCAAAAGCAGGGAAGCTAGAATCTGTGTTTTATCATTCATTGTCCAACACTCAAGAACCCTTACATGTGAAAAGGTAGGAACATTTTTTTTTGCACTGAAAATCTGATCAGTGATTTGTTGAAACAGTGTTTTAAAATGTTCAAACTATAGTGTAAAAACAACTTAGATTTTTCTGATAATGAAATCGAAGAGAATAGTTTCCTTCTCAACTTTGAGAATCAAACACAGGATCTAGCGGTTTTCCTCATCTCTTCAATGTAGCATGTAGCAAAAACGACTTATGCCCTTGAGACAAAAGTAAAATGCCTTTATTTTCAGTGGGACTGAATTTGTGTACCAAGTGGCCAGAGAGGAAACAGAAGGAACATTATAGTGGGGAAGACAGATTCTAGTTAGGCCCAATAAACATAGCATTAAGGAGCTACTATCAAAGAAACATGTCATTAAGTGCATGCCTGTAATTTATGTGCATATTTCAAGGTAAAATAACTCTGCCTGGAGTTCTGTTTTGGAGTTGTATATTTTTCCCCATAACAAAGTAAAACTGCATCTACTCTCTAGGCCAGACTATGTGTTTCCCCTACTGTCTGCCTTACATGATCCCTTCCTGGTTATTGCGTCAGTTTTCATATTGAAGTTATTCAGAGAAACTGGATCTTATTAGCACCATTAATAGATTAGGAAGAATCTAGATTAATTGTAGGAAACATTATAGTCATATTTGTCTTAGCTTGGCCATGTAAGTACACTTATGTAAATAATGCATGCATTTATGTATGTACATTAGATTCAATTTTTTGATTCACTAGCAGTGTATTGTTCTTTGCTTGAAACTATTGTCTTTTTTCACTGTTAACTTTTGTATTCTTTATTCTAGGAATATTAGAGGCCGTTTTATTATACACAAGACAAGTAAGTAAGAATACTAAAATAATATTCTTGGCATTTGGGCTCGCGGATAATAAAATCTAGTTTTGCATTAACTAGATAGTTAATGTTTTTATTCATCATGGGTTTTGAATTTTTTAGTATTGGTATGTTTAATAGTCTAAAAATGAACATGTTTAACAATATTAAAGTTATTTCTGCCTAATAAATATGAATGTTTGTGGCTTACTATCAGTTTATAATATAGTATAAAGTGTATGTGAAAAGTTACTTACACTTTCAGTCAATCCATTTTTATTTGGTCATAGACAACAAATGAAACAAAAATATCACCATTAGGGTAAAAATAAAAAAAGTTCTGAAATATCGAAGATTCAGAAAAAATATGGCATACTGTACAAACTACGTGAAAGTACTTAGCCATAATCAAGGAAATAACATCTGATTTGTCTGATAATAAGATAAAAGAAAATGGCCAGGGTATTAACTAAAGAATGGAGATGATAATACTTGATGAGTGTCTGTGTAGGGAGGACAGTATAAAATGTGTTTTATTATTTCTCCACCAGTGACAGTTTCCATTCAAAGGGGATCTTTCAGAATCTCCCTCCAATAATAAAGCCTGTTGGAAACAACATTGAATTTTTTCAAGAATAAAAGCCTTCTAAATTTTGGATTTGTTATATAACTAAGGTTGAGTGAATAACTGATTGAGTTACTTACACTTTATTCTTTTTAATTTTTGGACAGCTTTTGAAAAAAATCACCTGCAGAAACGGATGCCTAAAAGCTCAGCAGTGAAATGTACTACTGAGAGGAACCCTCCACAGCAACCACTTCATCCATCATGGGAAGCAAGCAGAAAAATGCGAGAGCAAATATCTCAAATTACAGCATTCCAAGGGAAAAAAATCAAATTTGAAGATTAGAATTTTCCTTTTAGAGATGGCATCACTTATTATTATTATTATTTTTTGCAATGTTGCATATTGACAACGTTGTAACGTATGTGAAGCAGTATAAGCTAAAAAAATTACTTTGAGGAATAATAATTTTTCACTGCAGACCATTCCTGTTTTGACATTGGCACTTTTGTCAAATATTTTTTTAGGTTATAGAGATCTTGCATAAAAAGATCAGTGGTTGATTCTGGTCTGTCAACACTCGTAGAAATCCTTCACAGAGAATATTTTGAATCTTCTAAAGACCCATTGCTGATGATCTGCAAGACACTTACTAACCAAGAGAGGAAGAAGGAAGCTCTGTATAGCTAAATTAAAACTAAGAAGAAAATGGATTTTTATTTACTCAATCTTCATTATAGCATTTAAATGGTAATTCAGCTGCAAAGTTTGCAAGGTTGATTTTATGATTTCTTTGTTTTTGCCATTTAGTCCCTACTCAACTCCTGTGGCCATGGATATGAAACAGAAACATATATACTGTCTGCAGAATAACATAAATCTTATGAAAGTAGACTGGTGCTTTTGAAAGATTATGCCATAATAAATCTATAATTTAAAATACCACTTTGCTTCATTTATGCAGGAAATATAGCCTTTGTGTTTAGTTACTATTTCCTAAACAAGCTGAGTGAATAGATGTGATGGCGTGATTAAGCACCATAAACTTTAAAACTAGAACGTGCAAGTTGGGCTCTAGAGATCATTATGAGATAATTGACATGTAGTTGGATCCAGGGGGTGGCCTTGACAGGTGGTCCCACAAACACTGAAAAATAAGGTGGTCCTCCCTCCCCAAAATACCATTGCTAGACCTGAGTATATTAGACAGCTTTCATCCTCTCCTATTGAGAAGGTAGTTGTGCTGCAGGTTCAAAGAAACCCATAGGAAACAAATTATCTGGACCCCACTTACTCAGATTGCAGGCTTAGGTACAAGACTGAGACAGAATTGATCACAATTATGGATGGTCTCAGGTAGAAGGGTGGGGAGGATGTGTTCATCCATGCCATTTTTAACCTCTCAGTAGCTTTCAGTATTATGATGGTATTGGGGGAATTAAGAGTGGTACCCAGCTGGTATTGATGGGAAAGAAAAATTTATCTCAGAGCCTCTTTGTAGAATTCTTCACAGTTCAATATACTCACTCTATTCTGTAATATCTACATGAAACTTCTGGATGAGATTTGAAATGTCTGTCCATAAAAGAATCTCAGATCATAGACATAAAATTTAACTTATTCAAGATCTAGACTATATTTTGGTTGAATCTAGATGAGACTTTGAGCATTTGAAACATTTTTATTTATATCATTTTCACATAAATTTGCAAACGGTACAAGAATATGGAAGTTCTGTGAAGAATACAATGTTAGTGTATGATTAATTATAAATTACTTCATAGAAAGATGTTTAGATTTTAAAGTTCTTGGACAAGTAAGATATTTACTTTTTTCAGTTCAAGTTAAATATATATTTAAGCACCTTATATAAGCACCTTTGTAATGTAGAGTGTGAAAATCTTTGTTGTGTTGAAAAGCACAGGATAGACCACTTTTAATGAAATTAGTATAGTACCTCAGTTATATCCAGCTTGAAATGATAGGAATGTATAAATTCCCATTATTTGTAATTAAAAAAAAAATCTTTTAATGTAGTGCATCATGCAGTATTTGGCACAGCAAAGGGGTGTTTTGTTTTGTTTTTTAGTAAAACTCACTTAGATGGGTCAACCTCACAGTGTGGAACATTCCTGTGACTTTTGCCACATTCAACGTTTCTTCCAGTTGAGTGGCCAAGTTGATGATAAAGAGATATTCCTTTAGGAATTCTACTTCATGATTTAGGGTGAACAAAAATTCTTAAATCACAGTATCCTTCACAAAATAGTATCCTTTTCTATTCAGGCTTTTTCCCGGATTCTGCACATTCCTTCTGTTCACATAATAAATAACAGATACTCTATGTTTATACATGAAAATATGGTTTTATCATAAAAAAAATGCATTTTATACATTTTTATCCTATATTGCAAAGTTACTCAATTGTCAGGCCAACTATCTCTTACATTACTAAAGAGAAGATCAACAACTTTCCTGAAGGAATGTCCTCTAAGTAGTTATTGGTGTCACAATACCAGTTACAGTTCCTTGCTACAAGTCTGGGTTTTTTAAAAACTGAAGCTTATGTATAAACAATTCAAGTGGTTGACATAATAGTGCAATGTATATGTTAATGTATGGTTGAGAATATGATCAGGACTGGCAGTTCAACATCCATCAAAAAGATAAGGAGTCTTAACAAGTGGATAGAAAGGATCCAGTCCTGTGATTTTGACCACAAACTTTTGGGTATGTTGCTCGAATGATAGAATAAATGCTTAATCTAAATGGATGGAACAAATTATAGTGTTCATTGGATGACGGTAAATTGCTATTTTTTTACTATGCAGTCAAAGGTGTTCCAGAGCAGATTTTGGGAAATTTGCTCTAGAATGGAAGGGAATCTCATCGCAGACAACTGGACAATGAAAGTTAAAAAGCACCCAAATGTTTCAGATTCAAACTATAAAATCTTTCCACAAAAAATTATTTCATATATCCAAATGTTACATGTCATATAATAGCATATGAGCATATCTGTGCTTTCATGTATGTATAAAATAATTTATTTTGATTTCCTAAACAAACACTTTAAAAGAACGTTTTCTTGTATGTTCATGAGGTACACAGACAAATCTAGGTAAGGCTCATTTTATGACTTCACCTGAATTTTTTTATTTTTTATTTTTCATGTAGCTAAAAAACTAGATTTTATAATGGAACATAACATAAAGCATCAAACTTATGAACTCAGCCTTTTTTTTTCTGGTAAGCATATATCATTTTCAATCTGTTATCCAATTCCAATTCATGAGAAGTGGTTTCTAAACATCTGTAATTCAAAATCTTTCCAACATCTTTAATTGAAACACTTTCCAGTTAAAAGTAGTGGGGGAGAGAAAATGCAAAGCAGTCTGCAGGAAGCACTGGAAATAGGCAAATCTGGTGTTTTAATATTCTAAGTAATGTATTAAAATACTGATACACTTTTTGGTTAAAGGTTATTTGCCTGCTAATGCATTAAAAATAGAATCCTTTTATATTCAATGGATGTTTAAGCATAAATCTGTCCTTTAAAATGAATCCTACTTTTCTATCTATTAGACAAAAAAAATGAAGCTTTGGTATTTGTGGAAGCTTCGTCTTCCCTACCAATTTGTTCCACAACTATAGTTTCTTCCTATACTCTTCACAATCAGTATTACACGACTGCATATCAAAGAACTATGAAATTGCTATGTAATCCCAGAGGATTTGGACACTGGTACCATTGACTGTTGGTAACAAAAAATATTGCAAAAAGATGTTAGAAAACTTTCATGTTACTATGAAGCGATGGGCCTACTGCTATTTAAACATAAATGTTTAAACTCCCATTAGACGTGCCTCAACCATCCAATGAAATTAAAAGCAGCTCTTTGGATATCTGCCTATGCTAGCACCCTTTATATTTCTAAAAAGCACTTACAAAATATGCTGATTTCCAGTAGTCAATGGAAAAGATAGGTTAACTTCCTTTAGAATTCATTATTCTTTCTATAGAGTACTATTGTCTCACTGGCTTCAAAAGCTGAACAGCTGAATCAAACAAGCATTTCATTTTGAAGAAGTTTTTAATGCTTCAGAGTCATATTCTATATATTCTGGTCCTTCTCATTTTTCAAAAGTGTTTACATCCTATTCAGTTTATAAAATAATTGCATCTCCAAATCTTGGGTATCAGTAAACCAATTTCTTTCATCCTAGTATCTACAGAAAAAAAACAAGTTTATTATTAGGAACAATGCTGCACAGAAAATTACAAATAAAAATTTTAAAAATACAATAAATATTTTAGCTATTAGGAATGTGATAAATTTCAATTTAGAAATTCAATTTGGATGAGATTTGATTGCGTCATCAGAATGTTTTAACCAAGACAATTTAGCCTGAAGATTCAAATGATTCTGTTTATATACACATTATTCTAATTAAAACTGATGAGTCAATTCAAACTGGATTATTAATCTGAATTGGATTTGAGTTAATATGCCTACCCTTGTTGTCTTTTGCTTAAATTGTTTTTATGAATACTGCAAACAGAAGCACTGAACAGATAGTTCACTATCTGCATTGGCATGAATGTAATGTCCTTCATAAAAGCAAGGAGTAGTAATGTAGTAGCATCTTTTAGGAGGCTTTCAGAGCTGCTTTAAAGGCTATCCTCCTTGCTTGTCTGTGCATGCATATACAGGTAGTCCTCGATTTACAATAACAATTGAGCCCAACATTTCTGTTGCTAAATAAGATAAATGAGTTTTGCCCCATTTTACAACCTTGCTTGCCACAGTTGTTAAGTGAATCACTGCAGTTCTTTATACCATAGTTAAGTGAATCTGGCTATGAGTCAGTGCTAAGCATCTGAATTTTGATCACTTCACCATGGAGATGCTGCAACTGTTGTAAGTGTGAAAAATGGTCATAAGTCATTTTTTTCAGTCCTGTTGTAACTTTGAATAGTCATTAAGGGAACTGTGTATGTCGAGGACTACCTATACATTCTGCTGCTACCAAGAGCACAGACAGGGACAGCCTTTGGAACTGAAACAGACCTAAAGAATGCAGCTACTTAAACATTTCTAGGTTTATATTAATGTGCTTCACCAAACGCTTTTGAATGCTTTTCCCATACTTTAAATCCATTTGTATAAATCTTTTATAACTAATCTTAGTAGTCTGAGAATACATTTGCTCTTTCCATTTTTTTTTTAAAAAACCTGATTCTAAAAGAAGTTTAGCTTCTTTCAAAATAATTTCCAGTGTTTAAGCTTTAATTTTGAGAATTGAAAAATGTCAAATTCTCACACTTCTGCTAATAGTACTGGTGACATTTAAAGTCATTCACCCGGACTACAACAACAACAACAAAAAAAGGATGGTCCCTCCACTGATTCTGTAAACCAACCACTACTTCAAACTGATAGTGAAATTTTTCAATTTGTCATTTGATAAATAACATGTAGCAACAATATTGGTACATGCCAAATACTAAATTATTGAATGCAAATTAAAGATTAAAGGAAAACAATAAGGAAGTTGGCTCTAAAGAGATTAAGGCAAAAGTTACATTATTATAGATCATCTACGTTTGAAAGATTAATACTAAATCTGAGATGTGTAAATGCCGTGCTTAAGCAGCTATTTAAATATTCACACACAAAAATAATATGTTTTCAGATACATACATGTTCGAAAATGGAAAATACTAAACTTCCTAACAACTAATGGGTGTTCTCCTTTAAGATAATTTATAATTATATGATTTTGAGTGGGAAGTCAAAGTGGGTCATTATGATTATATTTTTAATAGATATGCTACTATTAGGAATTTGTAAGTGTGAGCTAGAAATAAAAGCAGCTGTTTGTAAAATCCATGCAGCAGTAGGGAAGTACCAATCCCTTTAAAAGGTTCAAAACATGATTTCTACAGAAGTATTTCACAAACAATCTAATTTGAGTATCATGCTTTGGCAAACAAAATCGAGTCTGGCATAATTCTAGGTTCATTTTAGGCCACTCAATTAAAGACAGATTTATGGAAAAAATGTAAGTTTGGCAATGTAATTTTTATAATGGAATGGATCTAACATGAAACCAAAACAAGTATAAAATATAGGCAGGCATAGGCCCAATTCCAGATATGTGAAATCACAGTAACACTGCACAGTACTCCAAAGCATGTAGGAGCCCAGAATGTAATACCTATCTGCAACTCTAAAGCAGCCATGCCTTTTTCCAGGATTGCATGTATTTCTGCACATCAGCTGGATGAAATACATCCTGATGCTTTGAAAAGTTGCAGACAAGTTCCATGTGCGCAGGAAAACCTCTTTGGAATTGAATCTGAAGTACTACACAGCCCTACTTTGCAGGGTTCCATAAATATGGCTTGCAAATGTAGCAAACTTTTAAAACAGCTTTTATCTGTTTCCAGGTTCGATCCAAGTCATATCCCTGAAAGCAATACGTCATGTCTTTAAGCCCTTTCCTAAAATAACTTCCACCTTATTGGGACAATAAATATTTTATTTTTAAAATGAGTGTAATTTCCAAGCATACCTCAACTTTTTTGGGGGGAAGGAGCAGAGGCTTTGGCTAGAAAATTATTCCCAACTTGGCATCCTCCAGATACTAGATGGCAATTTAATTTATGAAGTATTTTATAAAGCAATTGGTTAAGGAATGATAATTTGAACCATAGCAAGCTCAAGAAAATTAGGCTCCTGGCTTGTTTGAAAATTTATATTAAGATCAATGCAGAATTCTATTTAAAAGAGTAGCTAACACATGGGAAGGAAAAAAAGAGTACAATATTTATTGTCCCTTACAGAAGTATAGCACATAACTTTAGTTGAACATTGTGTCTGTCCATTTCATTTTAAAAAGTATTTTATATATACTTCCATCATTACAATGCTCTTCTATCTTCATGCTACATTTTATTAGTACTACTGCAAAATACTATAAACAAGAAAGAACTTACGGGGAAATTGTACACCCAGAGGCGTAGGCATGATGGCCGGTGTAACGGATATCACAACGTACTATGTTGTTGGAATAGTCTGATTCCGGTACCAAGTAACTAGGGTTGACGCTAACCTACAAAAAAAAAAATGCTATACTTTACAGGTTTCATACAATACTAAATATGTTTAGGTTTTCTAATTAACGAAATGTGATTACCTTTAAAATGTAATTTCCAGGTTTAACATCTGTAATATCAATCCACTGGCAATCTATATCAGCATTGTAGGTATCGTAACAACCAGGACTCAGCCCCTAGAAATGTAATGCTAATTTTTTAAAAAATTGAGAGAATAACTATTTAAAAATACAGTATAATAAGCATATATTACTTGCAGAATAAAGAAATAGTCACTTTTCTTCTGTAAAGATTATTGGTTTATTTTTGCCATATCTGGAGCCTTCACCAATCCTCAAATACCAGCAGATTTTTCTTCTTGAAGTATTTGAAGTCTAATACTTCCCCATGGCTGGTCTAAAAGCAAACAGTGACATCCATTGGAATAAGCTAGAAAAACATATGCTTATGCTGCTGTCCTCTAACTGCTATCATGCTTGAATATCCTGAATGGATAACTCCATTTAAGCTACATATATAGTCTTCACAACGTCCGATAGACGAAGTCGATGCCTTTCTCTGCCATGAAAATATTCTAAGTAATATCTTGACTGGATCTAGGAAAAGTATGACGTTTAGTCACAGACTATGTGTCATTTGGCAAGAAGAGTCTTGGCCATGGAAAGGAAGGTCATGGGTATATTGAAAGCTGGCAGCTGAATATATATTTTAGATTTGGAATCAGACTGCAGTCTTCAGTAATTGCTGAGGAAAATGCTTCATAAAATGAAGCTGTTAAAATAATCATCTTAAAGTGAGATGATGATTCTTTAAAAAATCCAAAGTATGATACTATATTTAAGGCATATATATTTACAGTTGGTTACTTATTTGTAATTGTGAGATACATGCTGCAGAGACTAAATACCCATCCAGACTTAATATGCTTGTAAGCGGTGTCAATCAAAATATAGTCAAGGACAGTGTTGCAATTTATTATGATACAATACAGTTCTATCAGCTATGAAAAAAATGAAGCCATCTGCTGAAAAATGTATATAGGAACAGAAGGATATGTCTATAGCAAGTCAAAATATCATAATAAAAGACAGAATGTAAGTAATTTTCTCCTAAACAAGACCCCAACACAAAAAAATCTGAATCAAAATTTCATTTATGGTCTATTACCTTCACTATTAATGCTGTTACTTTTAAAATTTCGGTAATATTTAATCATATTTATTAGATTTTTACAAATATAGATCTAGTTTGATGTAGATGATGTAAGAAAATGGTCTTTGTTGTTTTTTCCATTCAGCCCCTTATAGTTTTCTTGGTAAGATTTTGGAAGTGGTTTGACATTTCTTACTTCCTAGGGCTTAAGTTTTAAGCTTTGTGCCTAAGGCAGAACTAGAATTCATTGTCTCCTGATGCCTTCACCACTATAGCAAACTGGTCCTGTGATACTTATTTATAGTGCATTATATATTATAATTTGATTATTTAATATTTAATTTAAAAAAATACTGTTCATGAAACACTACTCAACAATATTGAGTATATACTGTAAGTAAATAATTCATAATAATAAGGGCAGAAAGATACATGCCTAAGTGTTGTGGTCCGCTGGCAGCCTACGAAGCTGGCAGCAGAGTCGGACAATGGGGAGGAACATGGGCCAGTCCTGGAGTCTGACGAGGGCTCGGATGAGGGATCTGCCTCCAACAAAGAGATGGGGCCAGGGCCATCTGAGAGTTATATGCAGACTCCGGAGCCTCCAGAATCTGACATCAGTGAGGCAGAGGAATTAAGGGAAGCCTGTTCCCAGTGCGCAGTTGCACAGAGCTGCCAGAAGGCAAGAACAGTTAAGACAAAAGGGGTGACTCAGGAGTAAGGCTTGGAGATGATTGGCCCCTCCCATAAGACATAAAGGAGAAGCAAAGGGCCAGGAGACTTTGCAGGAAACAACTTTGTTCATTCTGGTCAGTTTAAAATCTGAAGCTCCATGTTGACTTTGTGCTCCATTTGGCCTTGTACAGCTAATTGGCGATTTAGTCGTTGGCAGCATTTCAAGGTAGATAAAGGTGGGTGCTTATCAGCCTTATCCCAAAAGACTGTGGCAGACTTCTGTTGGACTATTCATAAACTGTTTGGGACTCATTACGGACTGTGAATGCATATAATTCACAGCTGTTGAAATTTAAAAAAAAGGTTTTTGGGAACAGCATGTGATTGTTATTGCCATAGGAAGCCAGGGTCAGAACACCAAGCTGATGATAATGTTGATATTTCCTTTAAACCAGTACACCAAGAAAAGTGAGCAAACTATTATAAAATCTCAAAGTTGATCTTAGCAAATCTACTCACTAAAATTAAAGCAACTCTTAACAGCTGCATCTCTTTTCCAGGCTTATGTGGAAGTTTCAAAAAATTGAGCTGCTTAAACAAATCACAAAAACAAAGAAAGCTGCCCTTGTGCAGAGTACAATGCATTTCTTTCATATCATTTTCAAAATATGAACAGCCCATCATCAACTACTTCTATCTTCAGCTAAGTCAGTGTTTCTCAACCTCAGCAACTTTAATGCTGACTGGGGAATTCTGGGAGTTGAAGTTCACCCATCTTAAAGTTGCCAAGGTTGAAAAACACTTGAGTTAAGTAATTCTCTGTACCAAGCTTTAAAGTGCAATAAACCGTTGAAAGGGGTCTAGTTACTGATATAATGAAATTTGAATTGAAAGTGAAAATCGTTTAAGGAAAGGCAAATTGCAAAATTTGAACATGATTATACTCAATTTGATGGTTAATCAATGAAAATTAATAGCATTCTGGAAATGAAATTTACTGAAAGAAAACTTTAAAGAACACCTTGATTATTTGCATTACATATTTCAAATGAGTAAAACAATTCATTTACAAACTATTGCTATGTACTAGAGGACAGCTGTATTCCAAAAGCCAATAGGATAATCAAGATTAGGTTCAAAATTATGCAGTCCTATGATTTTTATTTTCATTCTTTATTCTGAAGGATGATTATCAGGATGCCCATTTTAAAGAAAACTTGCAGTAAGATTCCCAGAGCAACTCTTCATGGATAGAATTCTTTATACCAGCGGTCGCCAACCGGTGTGGGCCGTGAGAAAATTTTGGTGGGCCACAGAGAAATCTCACCCCCAGAGCACCCCCCCAAAAGCAATTAATTCAGGTTGCATAAAAACACAAGGCTGTGCTGGCCACATGGCCCGTGGGAACCCTCCCCACCCACTCACTCCTTTTTCCAACCATCATCTGTTTTGCTGTGCCGGGAGATTTAAATTAGCTAGGAAGCAGGAAATGGTTGGATTTCTTGCTTTTTAGCTAGTCTTTAGATCTTCGGCTCTGCTTTTAAGCACAGCCGAACCTCCCTTGGGACTGAAGGTTCTATTATTCAGTGCAGACTCACAACAAGCAAATTTTATGTGACAGACTGAGCTAGCTGATGGCAGATAAATAGATCACAGAATGATTCTGTGAGCAACTCAATCTGCTGCCTGCTTTGCCTGATTTTGGGTAAAAATTGCTCTTTTTTAATAAAAAAATTTAATATTTACATACATGGTGTGTTGTGAGTTAATTTTGTGAGTTTGCTTGCTAGCAAATTTTATGAGTTTGCTTGCTAGCAAATTTTATGTGACAGACGGAGCTAGCTGATGGCAGATAGATAGATCTCTGAATGAATAACTCAATCTGCCTGCCTGCTTTGCCTGATTTTGGGTAAAAGATGCTCTTTTTTAATAAAAAATTCAATATTTACATACTCACAAAATTAACTCACAATACACCATGCATGCATGTAAATATTGAATTTTTTATTTAAAAAAGAGAAACTTTTACCCAAAATCAGGCAAAGCAGGCAGATTGAGTTTCTCACAGAATCATTCAGTGATCTATCTATCTGCCATCGGCTAGCTCGGTCTCTCAAATTTGCTTGCCATGAGCCTGCACTGAATTTGCTTGCAAGCAAACCTTCAGTCCTAAGGGAGGTTCCCGAAGATCTAAAGACTAGCTAGAAAGCAAGAAATCCAACCATTTTCTGCTTCCTAGCTAATCCAAATCTCCCAGCACAGCAGAACAGATGATGGTCGGAAAAAGGAAAAATAGAAATTTAGCAGGCAAGTTTACCGGGTAAGGAGTGAGTGGGCAGGGAGGGTTCCCGCAGGCCATATGGGCTGCGCAGCCTTGTGTTTCTGCACAGCCTGGATTAATTGCTTTGGAGTGGTGCTCTGGGAGTGAGATTTCTCTGCAGCCCACCAAAATTTTCTCACAGCCCACCGGCGGTCCACGGCTTTATACTATTCTATGAAGGATATTGGTAGTTCTTGACTTACTGTATTACTATAATTAAGCCCGGAATGATGGTCATAAATCATTGTAGTCATAAATTGGGGCACTCGTGTGACTTGGAAATAATTTTCCAACCTTTTTTTTGTAGAGGTTGTTCAGCAAATACTGTGGTCATTAAACAAATGTAGCTTGTAACCAATTGTTAACTCATTCATCTTAATAGGAAATTTTTGTCAGAAACAGCAAATGTCAGAAACCAGCAAACAATGTTGTGAATCCCAGTCAAGTGACTGCAGAATGTTGTGGCCAATCATAAAGTTTACCCACCCAACATATACTCAAGTGACACTGGGTCAACAGCACAACCATTTATGACAGCCAGGGTGATTTACAGCTCATCAAGCACAAATTTCATGGCTGCCTTAATTTCAGTCATAAAACAACTAGTCATAAAGTAAGGACTATCTGTATTTTACACTAACTCATTCTCCCTGGCAATAAATTAGAGATGTTACTCACCATTCCTAAATGAACTTAAATATCAGCTTTCATTCATTCCATTCCTAACTATTTTCTGGTAGATGAAGCACTTTAAAACTAAATCAAAAGGTACGAAACTGTTCATAATGTACTTCTTTGTAATGCAAAGTTTCATAGTGAGTAGAATTTGATAATTTATATTACCTTAAATTCTATCTAAAGAATAGCAATATTAATAAATATACATTACCTGTGTATGGGCTGTACATGCAAATCGCCTATAGTATCCATAGTCACAAGAAGTGTCTTCAAGACAAAAACTTGCTTTGTGTCCTTCAGCTACTCTACTTTGTGAGCTTGCTTCAAGTAAGTCATAATGACTGAATTCATCCATGCTATGATAATGTCTATTAATAAATTAACAGAAGATTACTTTAATTTATTGCACCAGGAATCAACATCTTAATAATAATTTGGCCAATAAGGCCAAAGTCAAAATAATATTTCCCCATATTTTAAATATTGCAGTATTCAGATCTATTAGACAAATATTTTGAAGCCCAGTGATACTACTGTCTACATATTATAATTCCAATGATTATAATAAAATAAAGTTTTAAAGAAAGTTGTTATATATTGTTTGTTTAAAAACCAAACAATGAGCAACTGTTATTTCCAAATATCCTATTAGATTAAGGGCTTAAATATGGAAAGTAGATTCATCCACTATTAATCTTATTTTAACAATGTATCTGATTAAAAATATTTGTGTTGCTCTCATAAATTCAAGATCCTTCTCTTTATGAAATTTTTCGTTTTTTTAAATGGACCTAGTAAAATATGCAAAATAAATTAAAATTAAGGTTTTTGTATTTGTATAGTTTTTTTTGCATTTTGTTGTTTTTTGTTGTTCTATTGTCATTTTATAGACCAGTGGAAGTTTGTCCACCATTTTCTATTAACTGTGCTATGTTTATGGTCATTACATAAAGCTACAAAAATCTGGTTAGAAATATATTTGTACTGGCCTCTAATTGTCACCTGGATTTTTGCAGCCTAGGTATGGTGCCCCAATCTCAGACTCCCTTAATCAGATATCTGCTAGGCATTTTGGAATTGCAAATCCTAGAAGTCCCAAGTCACATATTTTCTCCTTACTCTGGCTGGAAATTCTGTCTAGTTCTGGTGTATATAAAAAGCATCTGGTTAGAGAACCCTGAGATATTGAATAGAAAATGAAATCATACACATACTTCAAAATGAATGTCACTTTTATGATCTAAAGTCATAAAAACTGACAACAGGTAAGGATTAAAAGCTGTATACTGATTTTTGCTAGTGTTTTTGTAATAAAAAATAAAGTTAACCATTATCTTTGCAGTATTTTTACATGCAGATAATTCATATTTACACAGAAGGAAAAGGACTCTGTATTAGGTACCTTTACCCAGTAATGCCTCCATTATAATATTTAAATGTAATTCATCCTTTCTTTTCAATTAAATTTGGTTGGTATTAAAGTTTATACAAACATTAAATTAAGATAATTGGTGCTACACACTTATTTTTAGTATTCTAGTGTTTACATCCAAGTTATGCACCAATTTATATATTAAGCTAAGCAGTTCATTTTGATATCTAAAACTTGTTTATTGAGATGTAAATCAAAGGAAAATGGTTATTCAGAGAGGATGGGTGAACTACCATTCTTGACAATTTCTTCAGGAATTTCCTGAATTTACACAGTGCAACTCAGGAAAAGACAAAAGGAGCTGCCAACAAGTGTGATATTCAGGCTCATGTTTGCTGCAAATTATCTTGATGTTTTTCACACAAGAGCAATAAGAAGAGTGGAACAGACAAAAACAGTAAATAACAAATGAACATAATTTAAAAGTGCCATACAGAACACTTCACTCACTGATGACAGCTGTGCCATTCCCATGAGTACCGTGGTCGGCTTGGTAAGAAATCTGATGTACCTTGATTTTTCACTCTCTGTGGAAATCTCAGAAGTACTCTGTTATCATAGTCTCTAACATCTGATCTGTAAGCTGAGCTGCAAGAATATGCATATGAAAAGAGTAAAATTGTTTGACAAGTAGGTCTTAGTTTAAAATGTTGTGTAATTGAATACATCCTCTTGGAATTCATCAGGTTTAATGCAGCTTTCATCAGTGAAAACGTGAGCAGTTAAGCTAATCAGAACTAACATAAATCCCATTAATTGCAGTGGTCCACCTTAAGCATGACTAACAAGGATTCAACCCAGTGAAAATCCACTGCTTTTGAGATTCTAAAGCTGCTAAACAATTTTTATGGAATGATTACATTAGAAAATGTTGTGCAATTTATGTTTCTCATTCTTCCTAAATAACAAAGACAGATTTTTTTCTAGTTGATTCAGACTTTCATTACAGGAAATATGGAAGTACTCTCAGCAGTATAACAATTTCTTCGATATCAGTATTCAAAACTTCAAAAATAAAGTTAAGACTATACATATCTCAATTTTTATTTAATTCTACATAAAAAATGCTATTGGTAGACAGACTGTTTTGAATACTTTTTTCTAATTAATATTTCTTTGAATAAAGTCACTGAGCAACTAGGTTTTCTGTTTCTTTCAGAAATTATGGAATTAAGAACTAAGGAAAAAAATTCCTGAACAATTAATCAGTGGAGTGACTTGCCTCCAGAATTTGTGGTTGCTCCAGTACTGAAGGTTTTTAAGAAGAGATTGGGCAACCATTTTTCTGAAATGGTACAGGATTTTCTGCTTGAACAGTGGGGTGGACTAGAAAACCTCCAAAGTCCCTTTCAATTCCATTATTGACCCACCCAGTCCAATTTTTCTACGGATTTGTTTCTTCCTATTATTTCTGTTGTTGACCCCTCCCCTTGATTCTTCACTTCTTTCTTCCCCATCGATTTCAGCAGAATTCATTTTTGTCAATGTTTTTTTCTGACTAAAAGAAAAACTGAACAGAAAACTATAGCTGGAATCGTATGATATTCTTAATTTCATCTGCAGTTTAACTCCATTTCTACTACAAAGAAAACCCATGTAGATTTACAACTATATCCAAGAAAAAGTACCTACCTCAAGTATAATATTAATCAAATCTAGACTAACATTGCTTTGAATTCATTTGAGTTATAAAAATTCATTTTTTTAGAGCTCTACGGTCAAACATAAATCAAATATGTGTAGGTTGTCAGAGCTCTGTTCATAAATTAGATTGCAACATCTCTACAGGAAGTATGTCTAATTCAGACAAGTCTTGTGTGTCTGCCTGTCTATTATTAAGCCTGTGCAAAGGATTCAAAAGCAATGCTTCACAAATTAAAGCTTTTTAGCATTTAAGCAGTGACCACCTTTCAAACTTTGTTGTCTCCTTTAGAAACTGTCCTTGGTATTTTACATGTGTGCCTAGGAACTGTAACTGCTAGACATATTACCTTTGTTAGCAATTGTGTGTCCATGCAAATTAATGGACAAACAACTAGATACAGCTTCCAAACTAGTAGCACAAACCTTGTATAGGGCACAGCTACTGGAGAGTTGTACTTTGCAGGATCCAATTTACGTCGGCCACTGGGACCAAAGGTTTATTCTTCCAAGCTTTTGGGCTCCTGCTGGAGCCTGTCATTAAGGTACTTCTCTTTCTCCAGAATATGTGCACTGGGGTGTCCTATGCGTTGTATTTATATGGCTCCTGATTGTGTGTAGCTTTTACTTAATTGGGGTGTTTATGGCTGGCTATTAAGTCATTAATTTTGGTTTCTTTGTGCCACTGCATCCTCAGCTCTTATGTACCTGATAGGCTGATGGTAGATCAGCACTCCTATTGACTGACAAGGGGCCCGTTTCTCAGGCTTCAATCATTTCTCTGGCTATTTTTGTCCCTACTCACCCAACAATTGGAGTAGCTGTGAAATTGAATATTCATTGTTCATAACGATGTGAGTCTACCAACAAGACCTCAACTCATTGGTAGCCTCACATTGCAGTGATCAAGGACATGCAATTAATTTTACAGCTAATATGAATACTGAGTGATCAGGGACAAAAATAGCCAGTGAAACGATTGAAGCCTGGGAAGTCAACAGCTCCTTGTCAACTTGAAAGAATAAGTCAGTCCTGGTGACCAACTTAGATTGGATACTGCAACATTATCTTGGGACACATATATTTACCTTCCTTTCTAACAGATGCCTTGGTCTGAAGGATTTCTGAGAGCATTGCTGACTCCTAGTGTCATGCATTATCAAAGATTTATCTTAATGCATGTTTATGAAAGCTTCACTGCATTTAATGTAACTTACTTCCACATGTATGCATTCGATTACAGCTTCATTATGAAATGAACTGTACTGATTGTGATTTGATATCTGATTATCAATTAATCTAGATGCTGAAAAGCAATGAGTTAAAAATAGATTAGAGTAGGGAGATAAATAATAAATAACTGGAAAGTACAATGATCAAACAGCAATTTAAAAATTACTTTCTTCTGTTGCATACAAAGCAATGTGCTTAATAAAGGCCTTCTTTTCAAAAATTAATAAAGCTCTGGGTTAATGAAAAACAGATCCTGGTAAGAAAATAATTCCTAAACAATCAAGGCATGGAAACCTTATGTAGTTTGGTCATCAAGCTTTCAGCAGACATTAATAAACACAGTATGTTTTATGAATTGGAATAGTAAAAGAATTTTCTCTGCTGCTTAAATTCTACTGAAATCATATCTATTTTCCTCTTGTTATGTTACCAGAGCAATTCAAAATCTTTGATAATGTATCCTGGATACAAAACAATAATGTTCAAACAATATGTGCCTCAGAAAGTTAATTCTTTTATAAAGCTGTTTGGCCTTCTTCATCTAGTGCTCTCCAAATATGTAAGGATTTGTTGAATTCTCAGTCAACATGGGGAAAGATTGAGATACGGGGAATTGTATTCTCCCAAAATCTTTACATTTCCTGATTGTGAAAGTTCATAAATTAGCTCATAAATAAGTTCATAAACTTATTCAATAATCTTTCCATCCAACAGGTTATTTTATGAGGATATGAAATCAAAGCCATCCCTGTACTTACCTAGCAAGACAATTCTCTTCAGCAGCACACCTCAGGTTGTACATGGACGTCTTTTGGACATAAGTGGCTGCTTGGATGTAATAAGGATCTGGCACTAAATCTGGCAACCCTGCAAGTACATCAAATCACACACAAATATACACAAAATAGATCAGATCCAGAAAACATCTACAAATTTCACTCTTGAAAAAGGCAGCCAAAGTTGTAGTTTCTAGTCATGGTGTGAGAAATGGGAACCTATACCGTGCACAGTCATTTAATAAGACCAAAAATCACTTTTCAGAAGATCAAAAGAAACATTAAAATACAATGTGTCTTCCAGATTGGAACTATTATACCACATGATCCTGTAAAATATTTTTCTTATGTATCTTTAAGGCATTTTCCTCATAAGGCCACCAGCTGAGGAAAACAATAAGTTTGTCAGATACCAGAAATGTGTCTAGAACAATAAATTATGCATGTTGTCTTAAGCAACAATAGATATTCTCAAACAAAAGGCTGTAAACATCCATTAAGTAGGTTGTATTAACTAAATCACAACCAAACTCAAGCCTCAAAATGAAGCCAACAACAGCCTATCGTTAATTTGAGTGTTTTCTAGACCTACATTTCTACTTTTCATGTTTGGTTCAGTCCCAGCACTGAACCCTCGGAGAGCAACACTTGAAATGACTTGACCATAATACCTATAAAGCTTCCTTTTTGCCATGAAATAGTCACATCTGAAGACAAGGGCAATCTCATTAAGTTCTAATAAATTTATATGCAGAGAGGACTGGAATCCATCTAAGAAAATGAACCACTGCTAATAATTAACACTCCCCCCCCCCTTATAAATCCCACTTCCGAATGGTTGCCGCTCTATTAGAATGAGGGACCTCTGCCTCCTTCCTCGTAGCCCTCACCATCGTGGTGTTTTGCATGACTTTACTCTCAACAACTTATTTCTAGCGCAAGATCCCGACCGACTACCGGGCGAGGGGGAGACTTGGGACCAGATGGTGATCAGCGGATGTGGGGCTGGCCGAGGTGAAATCCCGCAGGCTGCCGAGAAGGGAGGGACTTGCCACGCGGCTGGGTTGGATCTGGGGGTGGGGAGCGGCAACTCGCTTTTTGGAGGGACATCGTTACAGACTCAAACGGCTGAATTCGGCATCTGCGTGCAAGTATTTAAAAACTTCCTTAGGACAGAGGTGCAACTCTTCACTTCGTTCCTTTTAAGCTGCAGCCTGTCCCGCTATCTGGTGTGACTGGTTGAAATGCGCGCCCTTACCGTATTGAAAATAGCCGGTGCCGTACCCCGGCCGGTAGCGGCCTCTCTGTCGGGGCCGCTCATAGGTATCATAGTAGTTATAATAAGGGTTGTCGTCCGTATACTTGTACGGGTTGTACGGGTCGTCCCCCACCATGACGTCTCCGCGGGGCGGCTGTCGGAGATTGCTTAGAGAAAAGCCAGTCTCATTGCCCGTCCTGGCGGTGGCGCTGTCCGCGGGGCTCCCTTGCGCTCCGTCTCGGGGCCCTGCAGCCCTGCGACCCCCGCCCGTGCCATTTCTGTCGGACGGTTGCTCGTAGCCGGCTTGGAACCAGTACTGCGCCTCCGGTTTTCGAGTGGCAGTGCCGCCTCTGCCTGTTCCCGGTGCCCTGCGAGGAGAAGTGCCGTTGCCCCTGAGAAGCAAAACGTGGCCGCCTTGCGCGGGCTCCGGGCTGAGCCTACGCCTCGCGGGTTGATACTGGGAGCCGACGCTGAGAAGGCTGTACACCTGCCCGTTGTTCTCCCATTGAATCCGCTGTCTCCACACGGCGGGAGGAGGGGGCGGCGGATTCATCGGTGGCATCCCGTCCGCCGGTAGCCACATCAGGCAACTCCAATAGAAACACGCTTGCAGCTGGGCAAGGCCCAGGAGAAGCGAAGTCCGGGAATGGAGGCGCATGGCGACGGCGTGGGTCTCTCACAAGCGAGCGGGAACTCCACTCGACGACTGCAGGACTGGGGAACAGGAGTGCACCCCAAAGTCCCTTCCAACTCTCTTATTCTATTAGGTCAAAAGGAGCAGTTGGCGGCTTTTCTTTTCCCAGCTGCAGACCTCCGACTTATTTTGCGCAAAGCGAGAGAGCCCCCCTTGTTCTCTTTCTTTTCTTCCCAGCGTTCTCTTTTGCATTGAGATGGGTTTGGGGAGGAGGAGCAGCCTTCGCCTCGTCCTCGCTTTCGTTCAAGTCTGGAATGAAGCAGTGGGAGAGAGGGAGAGAATTGGAGGAAGGGCGGAAAGGGGGAGGAGATGAGGGATTTCAAAGTTTCTGGCATATTTGCAAAGTTACACAAGCCCATTCTGGCAGACGGATTCTCTATTTGTTCACGTAATGCCATTGGAAACGTGCAAGCCAGATCGTTCCTCTCCCTCTCTGGTTTTCCATCTTTTTTTCCAGCCTTATTTCCCCCAGTCGGGAGAAGCCCATGAAGACAAACCGCAATCGAGTGCCACTCGGGGTATTTAGGAGTCTCTGCAGTCGGCACGCTTCTCGCCGTCTAGGGTTAACAATATGCAGGCATTTCACTTTCCTCAGACAATTTAGTCTGCCAGGAGGTGGGGCGCTGCCAAAATATGCAGAGAGAAAAATGCTATTAGATCACCACCACAACTTGAGAGACAAGAAAGCAAAGTCAGAGAGTGAAGAAACATGTTTTCTGGGAAATATTTTCACCGAAGACATCTCCCACAGTTGGACCTCTGGTGAGGAAATTTGGTGGTGGCGGGATGAAAAACAACAACTGCACATTCCCCTTGCATTATGGCCCCAAATCCTCCTCAAATAAACTTGTGCATACCAACTTTTGTTTTTCCCTGGTGAATCATAGAAGTTCATGACAGATGTGAAGACATTACTTTTGCACAGAGGTGTATGTCAAATTGTCTTTTCCATAGAAATGACTACCAGAATTATTGCTGGGGTGGGTAGGAGAAATCATAAACAGTTTCCACCTCTTTAAACCTCCTCCAAGCAGAATTGTGAACCTGTTTTTCCCAGAATAATTTATAGATGCTCTTTCAATCCAATTAACATATAACTTCTATTATTAACAGTTTTTGTACCAAAAGTAACTCCATCTTGCTGGAAATCAGTCTATGTTTGTTTAGACTGTCTAGACTCACACAGATTTGATACCCCTACAGAAGGGGTGTCAAACTCAGCCCGTGGGGTGCTTAAATCTAGCTTGCAGGACTGGCCTGGAAATAGCAAGGGACAGGCATGCTATGCCTCTGGCAGCAAAACAGGGTGCAAGGATCTGTGTGAGGCCCCCTGTGCCCCATTTTCAGCCTGGATGGCCTCCTGCAGCACTGCTGGCCAAAATAGTGCACTAGGGGGCCATGTTTTGGCCAGCAGGAGGCTGTAGGAGGCTGTCCAGGGTGAAACTGGGGCACCGGGGACTTTGCGCACACCCCATGTCCCGTTTTGGCCTGCAAGGATGCTGCAGGAAGCATCCATCCCATCTCCCCCACCCACCCACCCTGCTGGCCAATGGAGGAGAACTACAATGCTGATTTGGCCCTTGGAGAAATCCAGTTTGACAACCCTTGTCCTACAGGTACTAGATGAAGATTTCCACCACATCACCTAGTCAGCCTGAGATTGATATATAATCATCTTTCATCAGTTTAGAAAAAAATAACTTGTCCCAAGAGATTGATGATTTCTTCCTGTGAATTTATAGATATAGAAAAAGAATAGCAAAAAGGACCAAATGATGAAGACCTCAGCTTCCCTTCCTACACCCATGAAGAATAGAATCACTCCAGAAGCAGCAAAGCTGCTGTAGAACAGGGACCACGATGCCCAATCCTTGCAGTTGGTCCAAAAGGACACCATAATCAATGATACTGAGTACTGCTAAGAAATCTCCAGTTTCTTGGGGGTCCTGCCACAGGTCATCTATTAAAAAATGATTAAGGAGCTTTCCAGTCAATTCCCAAGCCTCACTGGATCCAGGAATCTAGATAATTTGCTTCATCCAGAATGGTTTTCAAATTCTGGGGTAACCTAATCTACAAAATAAAAAAGGCTTATAAAAAAAGGTTGGAGACAGAAGAGTGATTAGCCAGAATAGCCAGGTCGAGTAATTGATTTTTGAGGATGGGAAATATTAACAAGTATTTCAAGATTGCAAGGAAGCTTTCATCATTTCGTTTATCCAACTGTGTGTTACCAGTTGTATTAAAATATCTGAAGACCAGATTAGATATATTTCTCATAGAGTAATTTGTTCTCATTTACAACTAAGTAAAGTATCACTGAATTTTTCCCCCTTTTTTTTCCTCCCATACCTTTCTATATAGTTTTTATGGGGATTTCTAGCTAAAGCTTAAGTCTAACTAAACACTTTTTATGTATATCTTTTTCCTGATTTCTTCAAGTCATTAATTTGAGACATAATTGAGGAAAAAAGAATCTATATTAATACAAATAGCATCTCCTGCTTTTCTGTGCTACAGCTTCTGAGAAATAGTAATGGCGGGAATACACACGCCACATCTATTCCATATGTTCTCGTCATTGCATAGCATACACTCAGTTGAACATGCTGTCTTCCACTGCATGAAGGAGAACCAAGTATGCTGACAAGAATTTCCTCCATCAACATAGCCAGTCTTTACTTTGCCTCATTAGCAAGACTAGTATGTAGCATGGTCCTAACAAATTACTGTAAAACAAGTTAGGGTAGATTTACTTTGGAACAAGTTATTGGTGGATTTCCCTGCCAGAGAGGAAAGCATCCACCAATCCCCCTCCTTAACATAGGGTGGCTGGGAGAGGGTGCGAGTTTGACTAAAGATGAGAGAAAGGATGGTTAAATCCTTTCTGCTTTGCTAGGAAGACTATCCTCCCTAGAGATCAACTGCAGCAGCTGATCCATGGCAATAAGGGTGCAGATCTGTCAAACAGTTCCTGTGAGATACTGTGGGAGAGTGAAGAACCAGGTGTTTTAATATCTCTTGGAAGAGGCAACTGCTGAAGATCTGGAAAGAAAGTTTAAAAGAGCCTTAGTTAACTCAGTGTAAATATGATAACTTCTTCTTACAGTTTTCAGAGTACAGCCACTATTAAAGTTGCTTTCTTAAAATGCATGTCATTCTTACTTTCTTGGTCTTATAGCTATGTAAGCTTCTCTCTTTCATGGATCAGGCATTTGGAGGAGGCTCCAGTAAAGCAGGAAATAATCTCTTTTCCTCTATATTGGAAAGCCCCTACCCACCTCCAACATTCTCATTTTTCTCCCTCAAGATCTCCTATGCACTATACTGCCAGATTGTATGCATGGAGTAGTAGCATTGTATATAGCAGAAAAATTCAGCAAGCGCCACCACCATTGATCTGCTGATATAGATATCATACATAGGATCTACCCTGGACAACATTTTAGCAGCTGTTTGGGAAAATCATAGGGAGGCAGCACTGGTTGAAGCTGCAGGCCTTTCCTGGTTTTACCAGCCTGGCATCCAGTAGAAGCTGCCAATATACTGTATTTCAATGAACCTCTTTTCTCCCTGATCCCCTGTGCAACCTGCCAGCCTGCTCCAGGAGTATGGCACTGATGGGAACAGAAGAATTATTTTGCTTCTGCCTAAGCCACCCCTTTGTGGTGTGTTGAGACCCATATCAGCAGTTTACATAGGGGTTGGAAGCACGTAAGCCAATGCCACTACCAGGTCCATAACAGCTGCTATTCCAGTTGGTACACCTTGAGGGGGATCTGGAAGAGAAGAATAGAACTATGAAAAATCATAATCTCCTGACATCACATAACCCACCTTTTAGCTCCTACTTTCAGTAGGTGATCAAATGGAAAGATACCTACACCAGCCCAAAGCAGCCAATAGTAGCTGGATATATCCCATCCCTGCCAATGTCAGAAGCTGTGATGGAGTGTTTAAGTGGAAGAGGAAAAATGGTGCAACACTCCTTATTAGGTATCCATTGAAATTGCATCCCTACATAGACAGTGAACCACAATTACTCACACCTGTTTCTAATGGCCTCATCTAAATGGAATTTGCCAAAGAGGAGTCTGTCTTGTCAAATGCTCCAAATGCTTTGTCTAATGCAGTCAAAAATGAGGTCATCAAAATTAGAAGCTTTTATTTATACTAGGTGATGATGAGACCATGTCAATGTTAAAAGGTATCCGTTTTCCAAAGTTTTTGATTGATAATGAGAAAGTTCATCCTATTTTTCACAGGTGTCCCACCAAGGATAGGGCAAAACAAAATATACCCAAATATAACCCTTTGATAACTAAAATAAATGCTTGCTTAATTCTGTATCATGCATATTACATAAGACTATGTAGTACCATGCACCATGGTAAATAAATAAACACCACTATCCAATTCCTACTCATCAATATTTTGGTAAAACCGACAGCACTACAGTACTTGATACCTTCTAGCTTAATAAACTTTGTGATAATACGCTGTTCTTCCACCATTGTTTTTTACTTTCCAGTTTTGCCCTCAAGTTCCCTAATGGTCTTCTGAGGGGGTTGAACTTTTTCAATAAGCCAAAGCCAAGTAACTGCTCCAATCAGGACGATACAAAAATTTTAAGCAACATATATCATTCCATCCAGGATTCATCATATTGGCTGGGGAACACAAGAATTATAAACTAGATTGTTTTAAGATTCCAGTTCTAGGTGTGAGATACTCTTTTCAGATAAAATTTCTCAAAATTCTCAACCTTTTTCATTTTGGTTATATAATTTTGTACTTCATGCTTTGTTCCTGCATACAGCAAACAATGACTAAATCAAAGAGGAAAAAGGGGAAGTCTGATAATACTGGGAAAGGCAACCATGAATAAAACGAGTGCTCTTTCTAAACTTTGCATAAGTCTTACTAATGTTACATATAGCTTATTGTTTTTGAATGTGTGATATTAGAAAATATTTCATAATGGAAATACTTTGCTCTGGGATTTGGGCCTTAGCTGTTCCTCTTCTGATGACTTTACTGCTTATATGAAAATGAAGACAGCAAAACAAAAACTACCGCTAGCACATTTTTACTATACTGTATTAATTCCAATATGTTTCTAATCAATATGGAGTTTTCAAGTCATAGATCAAGAAAAATCAATATATCAGCAATAGTCAAGACACATATTGCAAATTAAATATATTCATTCATAGATGGTTTATCATTT